CATTTTCCTTGGAATTGCAAAACCGAAACAAAAACACAAATATTTTTGAAAATTTGAATATTTTAAATTTGCATATGAAAACGGAACATTGTAACAATGCAATTTTGAGAATGGGTAATGATGACGATGAACAGTCGGTGAGTTAAATTGAAAACGGCAAGTAGACATTTCATTTAGCACACAATGAACCATAAACACATTTCCATATAATCCATTTACGACACGGAAGATTCATTAGTTTTCAAAATAAACACCTCAGACAAAGTTATCATATCGTCTTCTAACGCCTTCTGTTTTATCCAATTTTGCAAGTTTAATTAAAATCACATTTTTAATGTGTGTTGACAGATAAAAGCAATTTACTATTCATTGTAAATTAATGTAAATTCCATTTTCGCCTTTCTTCCTCAAAAGATAACGTTTGATAAATAATTTTGCATTGTTATTAAAAATGCGATAGCAATTAGTTCAATGAAATATTGAGTGTGAAAAATGCGATGCATTTTTTTGCATTCTCCAATGACATCCGACACATTTAAAACACGGAAATGTTCTATATTTTATACTGGAGCTCATTTTTTTTGTTATAAACAAAGAACCAGCATCTTCTAAACAATAGCAAATAGATCAAAAGATTATTTAAACAGTTTGTTTGGTATGTTTGCGGAATCAGTGAACCAATTTGCAAACAGAGAGTATTGTCACGTACAAAAAATGTGCGATGACTCAGTATGCGACTGTCTCTTGTAAATGGGTCATGTGGTTCCATAACCAGTTTTGGACCTTTATTTTGTAGCAAAACAAACAGTTAATCAGCAAAAAAATCAGCGTCCAAAGTTGAAATGCAGGTTGAGTGTGTTATGTTAGTTTTAACATCTTAGAATTGGTTCCTTTTCTTTTCTTTTCATTTTTTTTAATGTAATACAACAACATTTGTCGAACGAGTTATGACTAATGCGAGAGACTGAAACTTACTCATTTCAAATTATCTAATGCTCAGTGTATTAATCATCAGAATCGAGTTTAAAACACTTTGCTGTTAAGCCCAACAAAAATAAATTTTGGCAAGTTTCCTCTTATGCGTCATACTCACATGTTTCTTTTTTTGGACATTTTGTGTATTCTTCAATCAGCAGTGATGAATTTCAGCACTTGTATTAATTTTACTGTTTTTAATATTGTTGGCTTTATGAATTGAATTAACAATTTCATTTAAGCTGCAGTAATGCGCAGATCACATTTCCCGCTATTGAGAAATCAAGTAAGAGTGTTTTTTTTATATATTTGTTCTAAATTTATTTGTATTAAAGAAAATTATTTCACACTTGAAAAAAACCCATTATCTTTTTCATCGAGTTTTTATTTCGCTCGAGATTAATCGATTTTTAAGACTTTTGAAAATGGTTACCAAAACATTTAAAGCCATACTCAATCAGTTATACTCAATTATTTTATCAATTTCTCTCAATTTTCTCATGTATTCAAAGTATATTAATTAAATAAATAAAAAAGTTTCTTTCAACCATATCTGAGTTGCGTATATCAACTCTCAAAATTCAAAAAGAATTGCGTGAACGAAATAATCAAAACATTTCCACCATCAATCGATTGTTAGTATTATTATTTATTTGTTATAAAAAGAAACGGGAAATTGTTGATCTCATGCACATTTCCCAATCATGGCAGCAACAACAACAACGCCCACACTCTGATTGAACTTGTATGGAAATGATTGAGTTGAATATACGTAACTAATTTAAAATTATGATAATCTGTGTGTTCATCTGTTGCTTCGCCTTAATTTCCAAGATTTCAAACTTGTCACATAGCATTTCAATCAAAAGTCATACACATTTGAGACGGCAGTTCTATTGTTGTAAATTGATGCATATGGAACGGTTTCGCTTCGAGAGGATCAAATTAGAAAGGGTCTGCAAAGCAGCATAAATCAAATAAAACAAATAAGCAAAAACTAAAAACGGAACGGAAAATATATCGATATAGAAACAAAAAAAAACACGACCAAAATTCAACACGCTTATCGAATACAAAAATAAATTTCGATGCATTTGGTCGAAGCAGGTCGAGATATATTCTTTTTACTTTCGAAGTGTACAGAGTAGTACGATTTAGGGCTCTGAAAACGATTGAAGAACTACAAAAAAAAAATTGCGTTATAATGACAAGCACAAAATAAGTTTCGTTATTTTTTTTTTCGTATTCGTGTTGAAAATTGTAATCGTAAGATGAACACTTGGGCATTTTGTCGATGCATTGACGTTGTTATTATTTTGGTGCCCGATTTGATTTGATTGTTGTCATTACAATACCTTTTTGCTGGCTTGCTCTTCCGTCTCTTTCTGTCTTGCCTTTTCTCTTTCCATTTTGTAAACGTAAACTTACGATCGTTATCCGATCCGCATTACATATGAGGCTACATGTAGCCAAGCTGTCTGGCGTAAATTTTCCGTTTTGTTCTGTATTCACTTCGCTCGATTCAGTTTGGCTCATTGTGTATCTATCTCTGTGTGTATAGTTTCTTTTCGCTTTTGTATTCGACAATTCCTTTGTGTATTTCGTTATCTTTATCAATAAGTTATTGGTTTGTTTTCTGTTTATTCGTTCGTTTTCCACTTTTTCTTCTTTGTTTAGTTTTCTTTTTTCCAAAAAAAAAAGAGAACCTTTGAAGAAATAGTAGGTAGACAATATATTTTGTTAGATTTTGTAATCATATAACCAATCGATCAATAGCTACTGATTGTGAACATCACCAAGCGCATCACTGCCTTTTCGTACTTCTTTATTTTCTTTTTTTTATATTTTTATATCTTTTAATTAAACAAAACATTGATTAAATTGAGGTAAACAAGCGTGTGGAAGAAAAAATTGATAAAAAAATGTGCGATTTCAATTTGTTTACTTTTACGCACTTATCAAGAATCCAGTGGAGGCTTTTATCTCTGTGAAACTATTGATCAGTAAATACAATTACGATTTTAAAATTTATTATATTCAAATATTGGATTGATTAATGAATCGGCTGCAATGTAAAATTCATTCTGAACTAATATTTAATTTAACAAACGGCTACCAACCTTACGCGATCATGCAACTCGTGTTTTGTTTTTTTTTTTCAACCAGTTTTTGGTTGGCCTTTCTGTTTCTAGTTTTTTTATCGAGCACAAGTGCAGGCGTGCTACCATATGCATTTTCCGCCAACATAAGATAAGAATGTCTTTAGTAGATATGAAATGAGTCGTAGTCGTTAATAGAAAAAAAATATATAACGCATTCACTTTTAGTTGCTGGTGTCAATGTAGATAGTATTTGATTTATATGTTTGGTGCTAAATTCATTTCCGAGCACAATATTTTTCTTTCAAATTTTATGGTCAAACTTGGATTAGTTCAACGATAAGAAAGAGTGGGGCCAAATAGAACGAATCGATTCTTTCATTTTGGCCATACGCGTTTGCTTGAAATTGTTTTTGTTTATTTTGTTCAAAAATTCTTACATAGCGTTGAGAGTTTTATGTTTTGGAACTTTTTTTTCGATTAACTTAATCTATAATAATCTCATGTCACTTCATTTAATATGACTTATTATCGAATAAATATCTAATCTCGTCTTAGTTAGATCTTAGATATTATTAATGTAATAATCAATCGTTATACTTTTGAACTACACTTATCAATTTGTTAAAGTTTGCAATTAGATAAGACGCGTACAGAGAGCCAGCGGGCCTAGGTTTTTAGTCTCGGTACTTTTTATACCTCATACTTTACAATACCTCTTGTTATTCGTATCAAAATAACACCCTTTAGGACCATTCGATATTCTAGTTCATCATCGAACTAAAAATTACCAATTTTAACATCACCAGCTCTCCTTCCTTAGTGAGAGTATTATTGTCATCAGAATGAAGAAATATATTCCACAATTTTTACAATCTCATAGCAGATTACGGCACATTGATTTCTTCTGTTTTTATCTATCCATTCGGTAAATGCAGAAACTCGTAAAAACGGCTCGCGTTGAAAAAAGAATTATTAAAAGTATTAGAAGAGTTCAGTGTAAAACCTATACATTTATCAATTTATTTTTTAACTTCGTAAATGAGTTGATGAACCACTACAAAACTCGCGGGACGAATCACCTTAGGAAAACAGTACATAAAAAGGATGTTTATTTCCATTGACTTGATATGTAGAACTATTTATTAATATTTAATTAGTAGTCGCTATAATAAATAAATAAGAATAAATGGCTGTGTAGTCATAATTTTGCTACATAATTTTTTTAAGTGAACAACATTTTGTTTCGAAGTGCACCTGATTTTTTTTTTCAAAAAATCGACTTTTTTTTTTGGGGTCCTCATAATTTTGCCCGGGGTAGCTTTTTCTAAATCTAAAATTTTATGTAATGTATTATGGTCTTAAAAAAGTGTACATTAAGTGTAGGTAACAATTTTGCCTTCATATATGATATTACTATGAAATTGAGTGATTTGGCCATACCAGCCTTATATGAGGGGCGAGGGGTACCTATACTGAAAATTTCAAATTAAGTGTACGATGATTTTGTGAAAGTGTACAGCCTTGAAATTAAGTGTAGGTCAAGTGTACATCAATATTATGTCTTTAAATTGTCACTTTCTTGTGATGAGAATTCATTAGGAAAACAGAACAATAATTAACTCTTTTTCGATCAAACTCTTTAACTGATATTTGTGTAACGACTGTATTAATTTTAAGTCTGATTCAAAAATTACAAGTGTCTTTATCAATATCGATTTGTTCATATTTTACTAATAAGTACTCGAAGCCCCAACTAATTCACATTGAAGCTTATTTATTAGATAGACTATCCATGGAGCACAAACTGCGGTTATCGCAAGACTCTTGTAAGGTTTAATAATTAGGCATTACTCATTTCTGTTTGAATTGACGTAGTTACTTGATATACTTAATTATTTGTGAACACAAAAAAAACCAATATCATTATATTTTAAAATGTTTATTGCCATTATATTTCAAAAATACCATTATAATTCAAGTACAAAAAATTTTATAGAAAATTTAACTTAAACCAAATCCCTGATCTCTACTCAATTTTGTGTATCAGACTTATTTTCTCTTAAATCTATAGGTTTGTCAAATATAATCAGGGATAGATCCATGGGCTTGAATTTGTCGATGAATTGAATAAAGAATCATAACTTGGTGGTGGAGTAGCCGCTGATGGGGAGAATCTGATTGAATGGCTTGGTGCATATTGGACTTGTGGTACAGGCTGAGGTAGTGATGTAGTTGATGACGTTGTTGAGCCTGCTGTGCATTTTCTTAGAAGTCGCACCAAAATTAAAAACGGTATAAAAAACACGATAAAAAACCCCAATAACAAAAAATATAATTTGGAGATATATGTATATCTTTGTTTTGTTGTGCCTGAAGCCTGAACGACGTTCATTACTCTGTTTGTTTTCTGGGGTATGTGCAGAAAGTGCGAATGCATTAGGCACTGAAATCAAATAAAATGTTAAAAATATAATTTAACTAACAATATAAAAAAAACAGCAAAATTCCTGGTGGTTCATACCTTTGTTCTAAAACAAAAAAAGTTCGTTCTAGAGAAACAATATATTTAAGAAAAAAAAAGTTTTCCACTTACTTCACCAAAGTTAAAATCAATTCACTCCAAAACATATTTCTTTTCGGATACATCTACCAATCTTCCAATCAGTCTTCCTGCGTCAAAATTCCAATAAGACATAATAATTAGTTTGGTCTACCCACAAGAAGATCAAATAAAAAAATACCATGATCTTTTTGAGAACTAGTTGTGATTTTTGTAATATCCGAATCCGAATTTTCAATTGCTACACAGATTTTACACACCAGCACAATAATCAACAATTTCATTATAAAAGTAAATTTAATTGAATAAAAATTAACTTGAAGAAATTTTGTTCCAAACGAGCACCACCTTAAACGGAATAAAAACAAAGTTTAAATCAATAACAATGATCAGAAATATTACCTATAAATATAAGAAATCTCTCTTATCGTTTACATTTACGTGCTACTGATACAGAGATTATGGGTGTAATCAAAGTGAGTGAATCATTTAATAATAAAATTCAAGATTTGAGTCATTAAACGGCAAATATTGATTTGAACATATTTTATTCAGAAATATCGTGAATTATTCCATCACGCGATAATCGCAATTTTTTTCTTCATTTTCTAGCGTTCAATTTATTGTTAAACCTGATATCATTCCTCCAACAAATCTAGATTAATCGATTGTTTTTCAGGTAAAACGAATACTATTACTGTCTCTTTTTAGTCCGAATTCATCAATTTTACTGTCGTTATCTGATTTCGCGTCTTTGGCCATCTTTCTCTATATATATTTTATTTATTAGTAGGCATGTCACAAACAAAACTCGCGTTTGAATCTATTAACGCGAAATATATGTCTCATTTAAAAGATTACATATCCATTACTCCATGTAACTGGTGTTTGGTTGAATGAGCTTTAATTTCATTATGTGAAAGCAAACATATTTTGTGTATGCAATGGGCGCGCGCACCTCTTTTTGGCTGTTTTACTAATTTCCATGATATAAATATAATTGATAATTTCGGTTTAATTAGCCAACATTTTTTGTTGTTCGGGGCCGAATCCAAAAATTACTGCAATTATTTATTCATTCATTTATAGCATGATCGTGATCCCTGCTCTTTTCATGATTTCATATTACCATGTATGTGTTTGAGTGTGATGAGCAATGTACAGTGCATCAGATAAATGAACGATAAAGACCGTGCACCATCAGTTGACAGGGGAAGCGAACGGACTGAAAAGAGAACACGAAACGATGAAAATAAAACGCAACCAAATTAAAAACGCATTCAAACTAATTATTACTGTTGTGTGCTTCAGCCGAATCTATGTCTACTTAAACTCAGTTTGTTATGATTAATACGTACAAGTGTCATCGAAAATTTACAAATACAAATCACCGGATTTGAAACCCGAAAAACAAATCGGTTTAGAAAATCCAAATTATTTTTTCTTTGCCTTTATTATTCACGAAAAATAAACCGTAAACAACAGCAACAACAACGAAAATACCGCAATTTCAATGCATGAATCTCTTTTATTGATTTGGCTGTCACAGAGGGTTTGTTATTCAATTATTTATCATTATTTGTTGTTTTTTATTCGTCTGCATTTTTATTTCCATTGAAATCGTTTCCATTTTTACGTTTATATGAAAATGATATCATCATCACTATTAAATATTAATTTCGATTGTGATTACATCTGTTTTTTTCCGCGCGATACACTCACATTTGGTTGATTGGCCGATATCATGAACAAAGGATTCAATAGAATCACTTCAACAATCGATGTGTGACGCCACTAAAAGAACAAACGATACGTATATTGTTGTTGATTTTTAGAAAAATATATTAATTGAATTTTCTGGTGCATACAGAAAAGAATTTTTTGGGTGTGCAGATAATCGGAATATGTCACATTCAATCAAATTAACATTCAAAACTATAGTTAGTGTTTGCTTTTGAGAGAGATCGATCGATCGCATGAATGGTAGCTATTTCCTTTATTCGCAGCCGAATCCCATCCAAATTGATTTTATAAGATGTTATGTCTTGAGGTTTTAGATTCAATCAAACTGCGAATTAAAAAAGAAGAAAATGAAAGAGAAGGATTGAGGAGCTTCAAACATGATTGTTTGGCAACGTCTTTTATACGTGTTTCCATTTTATTTCGATATAATTTATTTTTAGAAATCAAAAGAAGATATAAAATATATTATTATGTATATGTGATGTTTAGTCCTTCGCCATAAATTTTTATTAAATATCCGGGCGTTTGAGATGACAAAAAAGAAACAATAATCAAAGATCAGTAAATGTAAAGTTCCCTCTCTTCCGCTCTCTCTCTCTCTATCTAGATATAGAACGGGAGAATAGAAGAAAAGTATATTGAGAGATATGATGATTGCTAAATGGATAGCAAGAACCACATTGGTCCAAGGACAGAGTATTTTTTTCTTCTTTTGTGTCGATCTGCACACAATTCTACTGTTCTCCTTCGTTTTCTATTTCAATAGAATCAAATGAAATAATTTTTTTTCCAATGCTGACAAATTATTGGTCGTTTTTCTTTAAGGCGATCGAATATTTCGTACAAACAATAAAAACAGAGAAAAAGATTAATTGTATTTGTGCATATCGTGTCCGGGCACTGCACAAACATCGTCGTATGATGTTTCAGCGTGCCTGTAAATTACAACATTTGCCTAACAGAAATGCTTTTTTTAACGTCTTTCTGTTCGTTTCGTTTTATTTTTCTGCAAACAGAACCTTTACATTGTGCTCATATAAACGAAATAAATTTAAAATCAAATAAAAACTGAACACACAAAAAAATGTGTGTGCATGTTTGGTTTTTTTGTGTTCATTTTTATCAGATTTTCTTTCGCTCCATTTTTTTTTCCTCGACGATTGCCTCTTTCGTATTTCGTGATGTATTGTTGTTGTTGTTGTTGATTTTTGTCGAGTTCTTTTTTTCCACTTCATTTTGTCTGACTTTTATATTAATACTTCTTGTTGCTTCAAAAGTGAATCGCCATAACGAATGGTGTTTTTGTATACGGCATTCAGCTACTGTGTTACCCACATCGCAGCTAATTTCGAAAAATGAACACACATCCATACACGTGCAATCAACACACTGGATCATGGACAATGCGAGGAACTCAGAAGAAGAAGAAATAAACGTAAAAAAAAGAATAATAAAACGAATAATCCTTCGATTTTTTTCTCCCGTTCTCGTCTTGAGTCTAATTTCCATGTTTAGTAGTGTCTTGAACGAGGATGTGATGTGCCAGCGTCGAATATATATGCGACCAGGGAAGTGAGATGTAGCCTTACAGTGTATAAGCCAATGGTTTTGATTTTATTCCATACAAAAAACATGAAATGTCGCTTAGGCCATAACATTAAATTTGATTTATTGTACACTTTCGAATTTTATTTTCTTCAAAAAACGTCGTTGAACAAGACAAAAGCGACCAAAATAACAATTTTTCGAGATAAAATTAACAATAATAAAGATCGTTTTTGAACGCATTTGAACAAATAAATAAAATGAATGCCAATGACCACAACAAACACAACAATCGAATCATTACGATCAAATTTTCACTAACATTGTGAATCTTCTCTCATTAGATACTTTGGACTATTTATTCTCTTGAAATGTTCAAAATATATATAATAAAAAAGAGCGAGTTAGCATTTATTTTGTATTGATGGATTTGTTGTTTTTTTTATTCTATTGAAATGCGGGCTCTTAAAGCCCATTGAATATTGGGTGAATATAAACGATCATAAAATTAGGAAAAAGGAAGATAAACATACAAAAAAAGGAAATACACTACAAAAATATTTATTATGTTCTATTTTTCAAATGAATGATTTACTTCTGGGCTTAAAAATCGAAATATGAAAATGATTATTGTTTAATTTTGGCCTAAATATACAATTTTATTGGTGGTAATTTGTGTGTTAGGTGTTCTTCAGGAGCGAAAATTATTACTGAAAAAAAAAAACTGGAATCTTCTTTAAAATAAAAAAAACAAACTCTTTTCGAATTGAACTTTTTTTTATCCCTGTCCAACCATAGCCAAACGCAATAATATCCAAAACGACCGTTTGCGTTTTATCATTGCTGCTTACACTCACATGAAGGGAATTGAAAGAAGAAACATCACATACGAAAGTAATAAAAAAAAGAAAATGAAGAAAAAACGAAACGGCCAAACTGGATTTTGAATCCTACGCATACGAAACACTTTATCGTTAGCACAACACATTGATTTTATGCGTCGATCCGTCAAGTATACGAGAGACAGAGGGAGAGGGAGAGAGCGAGAGCAAAGGCTTGTAGAGTTGGCATGGCACAAACAAAGAAAATGAACAATTGGGCTCGAATGAAGCAAAGATTTGATTATCGAATGAAAGAATACAAACAAAGCAGAGAAAAAAATGGATAAACAGCAGCAACAACGAACGAAACCAGCTCTTTCGAGCGAATGAAAGAGACAGAAAGAGTGGAAAAAAAATAACGCGATCAAAACAGACAAAAGAAGAAGATGTCGAAGAGAGAAAAAAATCACACTAAACACACATATTCACCGTTAACCGATGGGCTGCCAAAATTATATGCATTCAGAGAAGAGAATAAAATTAACGAACGTGAAAAAATGAAATAATGAACATCGAGACGAGTCGATTGTACGGACAAAATGCAAAATGCAGTGTCGAAAATTGGACCAGAGTACAAAGTAACAAGTAGCAATTTGGTGAAATGTTTACAGCAGAATTTTCTTCCTGCAGTGCATCCGTCGTACATACACATCGCATTTCAGTTTTTTTTTTGCGTGTGTACTTTTGCAAATGGGCCCTTTCGTTGTTTTCATTCTCTTTTTCTGTCTTTTTAAATTATAATGAAAGTTTACTGTAGTATCTCCTTTGGGTAAATTGAATCGCATTTGAACTGTACATGTAATTTGAGAATGAAAACAACGAATTCGACGGAAATTGCAAATAATTTACGTGTAATTTATTTCCATTGTGGTTAGTGAACTGTTTATGTGGCGTGGATTAATTTCTTGTTTTGATTTCAACATTCAATGCACATGAAAGCAATTGTTTATGAACGAACGGATCTTTATTTAAATTGCACCCGGGTGTTTTTATGTCTGAACTAAATACGATTCATTAATTGACAACTCTCACTTTGACATTGTGTCATTTTTTTTCTTCGGTTATTTTTGAACACCAGTCTGATTGGTTTATTTTGTATTGCATAAATTCGACTGAAGAAAAAAACAAGTGCCTGTTGATTTTATGTCCTCGTATTGTTTTGATGTTATTGCAG